TTGCTGAAAGTAAGTATAATTTCTATTTCCGCCGCCGTCTAAAACTAAAAATTTTTTGGTTAGCTATATACACTCTTTTAATATTTCCCCAACAAATCTGCGCTTTTAACCCAGAGGACAATCTCTACGCTAATACAGCAAAAGATCTAAAAATTGCGCATTTTGATTGTCAACTAATGACATCGAATAAAATGTTCTCACTTAATAAAGTAGCTCCCTGCAAAATACAACCTGAAAATATCGAAACTACAACAGCCGAGGTTACTCTTTACCAACGGCATTATAGTACAAAAATTAACGCGACAATGTGTCGTATAAAACACCAATCTATCCGATGGTTTTGTGATTCTTTCGATTCAAGCGGAATAGACGCTCGCCAAAATATAATCACAACTGATATACACATTTCCCCTGATACTTGTAAACACGCCGCCGAACGGGGATATGTTAACTTAGGATACTCAAAAAATATTCCTTTTCGCTTCGACGAAAAAATTGTCACAAATACAAATAGAGGCAAAGTTGATGGCGAATACCACAACGAATGCAGTGATCGTTCTTGGATCCATTTGGATACTTTCGAATCATACATGCAAAATATTTCCTTAACTGTCAATCTAAAAGATGGCACCGTTAATAACTGGCAAAACATTCCATTACCTTGTCCTGTATATGAAAACGGATGTGAAACAACATCACTTGACCCTTTTGCATATACTTGGAACGAGCCCGAAAACTGCATTTTTTCGGTTCTCAATAAATTCGAAGCAAAAATGATTCGAAATGAAGAAAATTATTATATTGTAAAAGACTCTTTTACTAAAATATCCAACCACCATACTCGAGCTAGAGACACTCAACAATTTATGCTAAAAATTCTAAATAAACCACAATCTTTATGTGGACACCCAAAAATAGTCTACCCAACCCAATACGAATCATTGTTCATAGCATACCAAAACGGTTTTAATATGGATACTGGTTTACAAATAAACCCGAGTGCTAATACAGGAATTATTCATTCGGAGCCAAATTTGACCTACGTAAAATACGCAAAAGATGAAAATTATCCCTTTGCACCGGGACAAATAGACTACGAAGCTCATCTAGGAACAAAACTAGATTATATTCTTTTTCGAAGCTTTTACATGCTTCGAACTGCCGAATTGGCACTTTTAACGAATCAATGTGAGTTAGAACGCTCCATGATTCTCAATACTTTAATGCTCTCTATCGAAAGCCCGCGTTTAGCCGGCTACATTTTGACCCTAAATAGGTCTATTTTTTTAGAGACCAATGGCAATGTTGCCTGGCTCTATCACTGCCCAAAATTTTATTCTCCATTACAATTAATGGATGCATGCTATAATCGGATACCAATTATGTATCGCGAAAAAATTCATTTCGTCGACCCGATCACTCGACAAACTTTTAAATCGGCAGATCAACAAGACTGCTCCGATAAGCATTTGAATCTTTATCAACTAGATGTTGATAACGATAATTCTTGGATCGAACTCACAACCTCTATTACTAGAGTAAAAGGTCCAGATCTGTTTAAGCCGAAAGAAATTAAACGGCAAGTAAAACACTCTCTTGCATCTAGTCATGATGCTTCTATTTACACTTATGCACAAATGCAAAAATTTTGGAGCATGATTACTGATCACTCTGAAATGAAGGGAATTTTACAAAAAGTATCCCAAACTTTTCTTAATGCAAGAAAACACTTCTATCCGGACTCGAGTAGTCAATACGGATCTACGCAAAACATACTTAGATTATCTTATCTCGCCTGATTTTTGGAAGAACGAGTACACTCGTGTTTTTGGTACAATACAGTACTATTTAGAAAGATGCGGAATAATATTCGCCTCTTTCCTTTTCGTCAAGTTTATACTCGACGCTCTTGTATTTGTAATAAAAGTATTACACATACACAAACTAACCGGCCGAACTCTTCATTTCGGAAAAATTATGTTAGCCGCCTCTTACAATATACTTTTCACTTCTATAGTGACTTCAATATTCGCTCAAAATGAGAACGATCAAAATATTGAGCTTGATCATAGGCCTCAGGCACCTCAACAAGAGGATTCTGAAAACGAAAATCAGGATAAAATTTATCCTAGACTCCAACTAGTTGATTACAATAATCGACCCGCTGTACCGGTCTAATTTATTCTATGTTTTAGGATATGCCCACTGATCTTCTTCACACTCCACTTGAAGAAGACTTGCTCGACTTCGAAAACCTACTGTCTCTAAATGACCCTATGGAAATGCCATCCAAAACAATCAACCCGATTAATCAACCAAAATTGAATACCAATTTTAAAATTCCAAAAGTAAAAAATTCTAATTGCATTCAAAAGAGAAAAGCAAGTGTCCGACCTTTCAAAATTCTCCCCTCTTCTTCAACTAGGAAAAACCTAGAATCTGAAACTGTAATAGTTCACCAATCTGCAAACTCTCTAGAACTTGAATCAAAAATCGCGATTCAAGTCAAAAAGGAACAAAACCTCAGCCCAAGGAAACCACCAAATTTTGACACCAGTCTAAATTATGCGCTCTCTCCCTTTATTAACCGATTTAAGATAGACACCTATCACCCTTACCAAAACGGTAACGGTGCATACCGTCTGGTTAATGCACAACTCCCCCATCAACATATTTGTGTTCCTGCAGCCTTTATAACTGCCCAAATGCAGACTCCGATCCTTGACTCCTACACGGATCAAGTGCAAAAGAATTACATAAACGACTTAAATCGCATCAATCAAAAGCATAAAACCATAACAGTGCTCCGGGAAAAAAATAAGGACCTCAGCAATAAGTATCTGAGCCTAAAAACCCAGGTGGAAGGAAACTATTAGTTTCAAGACTATCTATTAAATTCCGTTCTTTTTATTTTTTAACTCCAACTGTGATTTGGCCGCCGCCACTTTACAAAGTATGTATGCTTCTACAATTATAGTCCAGTATTGCTGATAAGTATATTCGCTAAACCAAATTTGAAAAATTGTATTTGATGTTATATTTCTCAAAAGTATCCAGCTGTGATTTGGCCGCCGCCACTGCTCTACTCTACATGCACATACACTACAAGCAGCCATTCTTCAACCGACTACAAGCAGCCATTCTTCAACCGACTACAAGCAGCCATCCATCAACCGACTACACTACAAGACGCCACTTTACGAACAAACTATCAAAATCAGAATAAAAACTTTACGTAAACTTTAATAAAACTTTTTTGATGTTTTGTAAATTATATTATGCTTTTAAATTTTTTGTCAACGGGTATCACCGTTTAACAATCACCCTATAAGATGGTTGGATGTTCTGAATTGAAATCAGAAACATAATTCTTAAAACTTTTACCATATGTTCTGACTTGAAATCAGAAACATAATTCTTAAAACTTTTACCATATGTTCTGACTTGAAATCAGAAACATAATTCTTAAACTTTTACCACATGTTCTGACTTGAAATTATGTGTTTGCTCGGTTGATAAAATATCACCAAAAGCAAACATTACAGCATTTGTTGTTTCTTTCTGATTGGTTTAACCAACAGATGGAATGCTGAAAATATCAAAATCTATGGTATATAAGCCAAGCGAAAATATACCAAACATCACTTCATCACTTTCTCAAAATCTCACAACCACTCTCATACTGAGACCCCCAACCATCCTAATAACCAAAATCTCAAATCTCTATCTCGATAACTATAAATCCATACCCCAATGTCTCTTGATATAAAATTGATGTGTGTCCTCTATATTTGAAATAATATACCTATTTACGAGTGAAAGAAACTTTGTCTGTTGAATAAGAATAGGAAAGTCTTAGCAACATTCAGAAAGACCCCTTGTTCTAACTAGCTGCGATTTGGTCGATCGTATAAGTTAAGTCAAGTTAGTTTGGAATATTTGTCCTGATGTATTGAAATTTTGAACAAACCGACTACTCAGAACAATTTTGTTGTTCATATTTTAGGCTCTTTTCCAGTCCCCCCTTTCAAAATCAATTTTGAAAAGCTTTTATAACATTGTCATATTGCAATGAAATTTGGCGTTGTGAACAAATCGACACTTGTGAACAAATTTGTTCTTCATACTTTACAGCGTAACATCACGCATTTAGCCGTAATAACACATAAAACAAACATAATACTCGGTGTTTTGAAAATGGGGAACTGGAAAAGAGCCATATTTTACATCGTAACATCACGCATTCAATCATAATAACACGTTAAACAGTTATAAAAATAGAATTTTTGGAATGTGAGTGTAAAGTTGGGCTATTTTACCCCACCTCACATAAGCGTCAATTTTATGATGTAATGAGCGTTAAACATGAAGACGAAGTATGGTTATCATGGCTTGATTAGTCTGCATGCCAATTTTTATAGCAATAAAGAAAATTAATGTTAAAAAAATGCAGTTGGGCGGAAGCCAAAAGAGTCGAAAAAGGAAAAGAGCCAACTTGATAAAACATTACATAAAAACGTATAAGAAATGAGATAAATTTTCTTCATTGTATTATTTTTGTATCACCCCCTATGTCATATCTACTAAAAAGAGATATAGTTTGCGTCTGGTAACGTTATATTAAGAGAAATAGTTCAGACTAAGTTATTGCCCTCAATGCAATTTGGAATGATTTAATTAGCTTCTTAAATTTTAATAGAACAAAATATATCTCGCGTTAACTATCCCGATTTGGTTCCCATTGGTAAAATATCTTTCGTTCAAAATTGCAGGTAAAAAATCCCGTGAAAATTTTTCTGTTAAAAAATTGAAGTTTTTCTGAAAAAAGCAGCTCCTTCATTGTAGTTCCTTTCCAATACGAAAGTTGATTTTATTTTATAGTCCAATTGATTTTATGTTATAGTCTGAAGTCACAAATCAGAGTCAATCTCTTGTTTGAAAATCGGCTGCAATGTTTTTAAATTAATTTTCCAGTAAAATTCCTATAGTGAAAGACTCACCCAACGCAGATCCATCGTGGTTCCACCTTCCCGCCAAAATGGCCCCCCGATGTGCCTCAACTGTTTTTTCCACTGTTCCGTTCTTGGCACACAACATAAACGACCCATTGGTCGCAGTAAGCACAAACTCCACTTTAGATGCTTTAGCGCTAGCTCCCCCAACCACCCCCGAAGTTTTGGGGATAAAATGGATATCGGTGGGGAATATTTCCTCGCTCAAGTTCGTGAGCGCCGTCGCATCGTGAACTAAATGCTCCTCGGCTTTGAAAAGGAACACTTTGTGGTCGTCACCACAAGACACGAGTTCGTTAACCGAGTTCCAAGCAACGCAACCGACGAAGCCTTTGTGTTTCGGCTGAGAAGGAAACTCGAAAACTTTCAATTTCATTGCAAGAATTTTTTAATTCAGCTAAAGGAGCAAAATGGTATGATACGCTTTTTATGAGAAAGCGAGATTTAAGATGTGGTGCAGTTTTATTTTGGCTCAACGTTGGTTTTACGTGTACATTCAAATGATCAGCCTTGATGAAACGTGATTCAATGTGAATTAACCATGTACGTGTTTATATGTTGTTTTGATTTAATCAATATTCATTTTTGCTGAAGGTATTGTTATAAAAACGCACGTGAATCTTTTGCTCTGAAAATTAATGACGTTATGGGAATCTTCATCCCAGCACATACAGTTCAGCTCGGATTAGAGCTAATTTTTTTGAGTTTGAGCTCTTTTTTACGTTTCTCAAAATTCTGATTTTTTAAACTGAAAATCATTGTTTTTGATGGCGGCTTCATATATTTTGAAATTTTGTCTCTTCCGAATTTTTTTCTAGATTTTTGACAAAAACAAAGATAAATTACTTTTTGAAAGCAGTTTTGAAATTTTCAGCATTTTCGGAAAACTTTCGCCCTTAAGTGTTATCTGGTATGTTAAGCGTTCATTGAGAATAATTTGAACCAAAAATGTTTCCTGCAAGGGCTCTTTTTGTTTTCTCCTCCTACAAGTTTGTACTTCAGTCAACAATGTCCGTTCATTACAAAAATTGATGTGAAGGCTGACTTTTCCACCATATTTATAAATAACATTGTAAAAGCACTCGAGACACCTGGGACGTGATAAAAAGTTCCAACTATGAAGAGAGTTTTTGACTCTTTTCCAGTTCCCCACATTTTTTTTCTCAAATTCATTTTACTAAAGTCTATGTAAAATTACTGTCGCTTAATTACTGCTCAAAATTACTCTAAAAATGACTGCTCCAAAAATTAGTGCTCAAACTACTTGTTATGAAACGTGTCAGCGTGAATAAGTGAATAAACTTCTACAAGTAACTTACATGCAAATTTCCGCATGAACAATTTCTGAACAACTTTAGTTTTTAATTTAAACGAGGGGTTGCTAAACTGGAAAAGAGTCGAGGTGATACACCTACGAAGAGATCTAAAAATATCTTATATTGAGTTCTCAAACAATAAACTCGTGAAACGACTCATAACAACAAAAAAACTTATGCTTAAATGAGATGGGGTCATAAAGCTCTAAAATCAGTAAATATCGATTCTGGGGGTGAAAATCTTGAATTGCGAAATACTTTAGTGAAAAGTTAACATTTCGTGTTTAACAAATGCGTTTGCCGAACTAAACATATTTGTCGGTCTTTTAAATTTGACTTTCCAAACAGTGCACAAGAGAAAACGGGCAAATACGAACTAGGTTCGAATCATCTAGTATTAGTCTGAAAACACTATTCCCGGACAAAACGGTCCGAAACCGATCGAACTTTGCCGCCACAATTTTTTCAAGCCGAAAAACTGTTTTGCACTGCGACTCATGAAAAGTGAACCTAAATAACAATCAAAGAACCAAAATTTGTACAATGAACCAAATGATTAAGAAATATGCTAAAGTTTAGTGGCTAAGAAAACCGAATCAAAACATAGCGATCAAAAAACTTGGCTAACCCTGAGCGACACAATTAGTTTTCCAATTTTCAAAAAAAAAGTACAACCTGGGCGTTTCTGAAAACAGGTAAATCGAGAACCAAAAACGTGCTCAAACTGCAAGGGTTGGGCAGAAGTGCAAAATTCGTGCAACTCTGCATTTTCATGTCATATCCCGCTCAATTAACAAACAAAATACACAGCAAAAGAGGCTTATAAGCTGGTATCGTAGCTGCAATCTGTCAAAAACCATTTATACCGTTGAAGTGGTACAGATAAATTATATTGACAATTTTTATTTGCTGTTTTGGTGTTTATTTTTTGTTCTTGCTAATTTGTATACGCTGCGCACGTTCTTTCTGAAATCCTTTTCTAGTTTTTGCTCGTTCTTGATTTTCTTAACGAATGTGGGGATTGAAGGGTGCTTTTTTTGTTGTAACTTCAAAAAATTTCCGTTAACTTCTTCTACGGCGTTGTTCGTACGGCATAGCTCATTCTGTACTTTTTGAGATCAAATGCATTCTTTTGCGTCAAACCATGGTTTTTGTTGTCTATGAGAACAGAGTCTAAATGTTTATTATCGTAAAAAAAAACTTGAGTCTCAATTGGCATCACTTTTAAATAGGAGAGTAAATGCAACGGCGGTTGTCTTTTTTATGAATACTTTATCAAGTACCCTAGAAAAAAATGAAAATCGATTAGAATCACTATGAAATAGGAAAATAAATGCAGGGGCGATATCTTTTGTGGATGTAATTGCATTGAGAAAACTTTAGAATAAATACAAACTTACAAAAAACGAACTTAAATGCTATAATGCATATCTGCGATTGGATTTTACTCAAACACTTCGATGTCTATTGTAACCCAATTTGGAGACTCGATTTTCAGAATATTGAAGAGGCGGTAAACCATTTATTTTTTTGTAAGAAAGCAGAGCGTAAACAAAGGGCTTCAGATATTTTCCTCCTAAAGCATGTTAAAGCAGGTTGATAGAAAACATTGTGGAGTGTTTTTCATTGCAAAAAATACCTGAGAGTGTTTGTAAATTCAGCCCGTTTAAACCTTTTTTTTCAAAAACCAGAATTGCACTTACAAAACTTTTGTAGAGCCCACGTAATTAAAACTAATTAAAAGGCTTTTTAGTGATACTCGGAATTCAACCCAAAATGAGTTGACACCTGGCCTTCATTTATCATGGCGTGTGCGGAAATCAATTTTCAGAAAACATCAGTTTGGTTTTTGAATTTGAAAGCTTTTTTCAAAAAACCGCTTCCGAAACATTGATGGACAGCCTGAAATTTTGCCGGTTTGTTGCAAAATTTATTGAAATAAAACAAAACTTCATAGCAAAGTCTTTGAACGATTTTCAACACCTGGCTTGATTTCAATAAAACAATGGCAGCTTTATAGAAAATTAAAAAAAAATATGTGTATCTAACTTTCAAAATCCATTCAGCAAAGTAATTAAAAGCTTATGCTTTGATATCGGACAAATAAAAATAAAGCCAAGCATTGCTTATTAGTAATCAAATCAAGTCACTGCCGTTTTGCATTTGCATGAACACTGAATCTGCTAAGATAAAGAGCAGCTTGCACTAACTGGTAAAACTTCATAAAATAGCAAATCCGAGCATAGCATTTTTATAAAACAGTTACAATTAAAACCACAAACGATGTAATTAGCGTTTTGTTTTACCTCGAAAGACAACACACCTGACTCAATTTTTTTGAGCTAATTTTAGGGCGGGGTTAAATTGCTGCTTAAACGTTGATATGCCCAAATTTATTGCGCGTTAATTGTTCAACATTAGTCATCTTGAAACCTTCAAGGAATTAGAAAAACTGGGTGCAGTCAAAAATCGTTGTAATTTTGAATTCAATCCTTGAATGTTTTCAGATGATGTATAAAAAATAAGTTCTTTCAAAATGGTTCCCTAAAATTCCGAGTTTTTCTGCAGAAAAAAAGATCTCACCGCTCTTTTCCGTCACTTTTTTTGGGACTATTAACAAAAAATGTATAAAATCCAAAACTTTTTTCAGAAAAAGTAAGGCTTTTTTTCATGTATGTGGATACTGGCTTCAGATTAGTTGATATAATTTACCATATTCAGTTCTTCTTTCCTGAGTCGGTTACTTCATTTGAAGCAACGAAAATATCAGTTTAAGTGAAACAAATGGCCTTAGTAGTTGAGAAACGCCGTGCGAAGTGAAAAAAATCTCCTACAAAGATTATACTGGAAAACGTTTTCGCTTCAAATTTAACGAAAAAAAGCTTCGAAATATTTAGTCGGATATTGCAATAAGCTGAATTACATATATAGCATCGATTTGTAGTTAAACATCAGTGCTCGTATCTGAACGAAACTCCAAATGATCCGACTGTTTTTGAAGATCTTTAGTGTAGTGTTCGCTTTTTAAAGAAAAAGCCAAAATTGAAAAAAAGAAAAAAACGCTTTTTTTTCTTGCGCTATCTAAAATTCAAAGTTTTATATTTCGCATAAAACAATGTGTTATATAGACCAAATAGCATCCCTGAACACAAATTGGAACTATTTCTAAGGCGGATTAAATCTCGGCTCACGCCTTAATAGCATAAAAAAAGATTGCGTGCTAATTTCTCGATTTGGCAAAACTTGCAATCCTCAAACCCGCATACTCTTACTGAAGTAAAGATGTAATATATATCTAAGTATGAGCTCAAGAAAACAATACCTTTCCGATGATATTAAAAATTACACTCGAAAATGGCTGATCGAAAATTCGAAATTTGTCTGGAAAAAATGAAAATAATACATCCAGAGCACAAATATTCGGTCGTTTTTTTTTTCAAAAAAGGGAAGAATAAACTACTTATTGCACCAACATGAAATTCTAAGTATTTATAAAGAGAGTACAAACGTTTTTGAATTTTATAAAATGGCTCCCTCGACACTTAATTTTGAGTTTTGCGACTTTTAAGCAATGCTTCAATCAATTAGCAGTCTAAAACTCAATTTGCACCTTTCTCTGAAAAATATTTATTTGACGTGCCTCCTATGCTAGGCGTTTAATTTATATCGGAGCTTTTATGGCAAATTAACTTGCACAATCTTTAAAAAATGACAATTTTGAACAATATTACAGAGCAAAATGATATTTAGGCTTGAAGCAAACAAAATTGACAGAAATTTGCACCACTAAAATCATTTAATTATTTCGAAACAGTTTTCTAGATATTTAATTTTGCTTGCCTTACTAATATGTTTTTCTTTGTGAAACATATCAACAAAGTTTTAATCAAAAATGGTTAACGTTAATTAGATAGGTCGTCTTAGTGGATAGATCGACCGACATTACATTTGTCATATCAAACTTTTCAGCCGTTTAATTTCATTCATACCAATGAAAATAAGTTTAAACAATTTGAAAGTATCTAAAAAAAATGCTGCTTATTTCAAAATGGCAATCTTTAAACCCCCTTAACTTTGCCAAAAATTATCAAAGATGAAATATCGTTTCCTTTTTAAGCTCAAGACAACAATTCCTTTCGAATGATGTTAGAAAATTCTGTCAAAAATGGCTAGTTGAAGGGTCGAAATTTGTCTGAAAAAAAACCCAGCCCGAGCACAAATAATCCATTACTTTCGTTAAAAAAGTCAAACCAATA